AAAAAAAAAAAAATTAACCCATTTCTATTCATCCATGTGCTGTCACATGGCTCATGCTTCTACCTCTCCTCCTGTCTTGCTCCCTCTCCATCCGGTTCCCCTTCTTCCCAGAGGTCCCTTTGTCTGGAAATCCCACCTATATCTCCTCCTGCCTAGCTACTGGCCATTCACCTCTTTATTAAACCAGTCACAGTGCACACATCTTCACACAGTGCAAAGGAGTGTTCCACAACAGCACGTGAGTTTGGCTCCTGCAGTACTGTGTAGGTGACAGAGTGTGAGGCTGAAGGCTCACTGTCCTGCCTCCCCTCAGTCCCCAGCAGCACCAAGATGGCAAGAAGCTGGAGACGCCATCTTGCTTCTCTGTGTTCTAGGCTCACATCTTCCCATAGGTCTTTCTCTTGGAGGGGTGGGAAGAGGCTCATTTCACCCGGAGGCCTTCAACTGTATTCCGATCGCTGTGCTTTGATGCCCTTTCTAAGCGCCCATGGCTGTCAGTGCTATTGAACCACTCTTGTTCTTCCCCACAGGCTCCTCATAGTCCTGCTGCAGCAGTCCAGCCCCGGGGAAATCAATCATCAGGACACGGAGGTGAGTCGGCTGTCCCCTGCCACCGTCTGCATGTGAAGGCAGAAGGTGTCCTTTGTACATCCCGCTCACCAAGTAACCTTCTCTGCCCCTACCTTCAGGCAGAACTCTGTCATTTTGGGTGTGGGCAGCTTCTACCAGGGAGGCGCTTTCTTGCATTAAGTACTTAGGTATTAATCATGTGACTGAAATTTCGTAATTTCCCTCTGGGCATTCCCCCTCCGGTCATCTCAAGTCCCCCAAACATAAATAACAAGCCGTGGCTCCGGATGTCTGCTTTCTGTGTTAGGAGGACATACAGACGAATCCCAGGCAGCATTACTAGTCCGTGTTAATCATAATTGCTGCTCCCTTCAAGTTGCTACGTCAGCCTTGCAGAAGGCTTCCAAATCATCCGTCTCCATCCTTGAGCAGAGTTATAGGTCAGACTCTGTAGTGCTTCCCCAGAGCATCTCAGGGCTTTGTTATAGTTATGCCAAGTTGTTCAAGGACAAATACTGATTTTCGTCAGCCAATGGATTATTTCTATTACAATCGTCCCAAATCCAATTGGAACACCGGGGCTCTTAGTGGGCTTTCTATATAAACATATACTTTGTTAGCTACTCTTCAGTAAGAAGGGCTGGTGATATTGAGAAAGTCTAGTCACATACACACATACACAAGATGTCACACTGCACTGGTTTCATAAATCCAGCTGGTCCCAGACACTGAGATAGGAGTCTGCCCCTCACAGCTTCCTCCTGGTCTGCGCCCCTGTACCCACCTGTCTTGAGCCTTTCGTCAAAGGCCTCCCCCTGACCATCATGATGACCACACCAAAAAAAGCCCCTGTTTGCAGCTTGGTTTTGAGACCGGATGTCTCCCTGAGTTGTGGTCGCACACTGTGTCCACTCCACACATCTTGAGTGACCAAAGCCAGACCTCAGAGGACAGAGCAGCGCACCTTCTGAGACTTCTGCTTTGAAAAGGAGAACCAGGGACAAGACGGGAGATGTGTGCACTGATCACTCTGTGCCCACATGGGAAGCAGAGTGCTTGGAAGGTGGCACTTACATCAGCCCACAGCGGGTGTCTAGACCCTAAGCCAGCTACCAACTGCTTCCTCCACCTCAGCCCCGCCCCCCAAAGTGGGTCTGATTTAGGTAACTGGTGATTCAGTCAGCCGTACCCTAAAGCCAAATTCCATTTGCAGACCTGCAACTCTGGTTACTTTAAAGCTGATCTAGTGTACCCAGCAAAGTCATAGCTCCCCATCACCCTGCTCCTCCAGCAAAGTGACCTCTGTTTAAAAAAAAATTAATAAAAAAAAAAATCCAAGGGGTATAGTGACTCATGCCTTTAATCCCAGTACAACTCAGGAAGCAGAAGAAGGAGAATCTCTGTGAGTTTGAGACCAGACTGGTCTATACATCAAGCTCCAGCAGGACTATATAGAGAGCCCCTTCCTCAAAACAACAGCAACAACAAAAATTCCTTTTGTTATCACACCACCATTTAGACCCACCAAATTCTAAGCTCAGAGAGTGGCAGCCTCAATGATGGTGTGTCCTACCCAAGGCTACACTTTCCTCTTCAGCCTGTGTCTCAGCAGGTCTGTTGCAGAGAGCATGACCTTCGGGCTGTAAGTTGTTCGGCAATTAGGAAGGATGTCCACACAAAATTTGGCTTCCCAATATGCTTGGTTTAGTCACACAAAAATCCCCGATAATACCATGCTATCAGACACATCAGCAAGCGGAGAACAGCTGGTTGAGCAGAAAATACAGCTGCAGGACTCGATTGGGGATTCTTCTACTGTGAGGACGCTTCAGGAGCTTTGCGGGCTCCTCCACAGTGGAGTCCTTCAGTTGTGGCAAGCCAGGAGAACAGCACTGGTGGAGATTTAGAAGGTCCTGGCCAGCGGCTAGGGCTGACAGGTGGGCAGCCATGTGTGAGCCCAGCAACAGTGCCAGCAGTTCAAAGGTCACTGAAGCCAGGGCCATACACAGGCCCATCTCAGGTCCTCTGGTAATGAGTATCAACACAAAAGGCCAGAGAAACCATGTCTGGGAAATATGGCGGTAAAATCCTAGAGACCACTACCAAAGTTCCAATTTTTGTATCATTTCACTGGGTGGTGGCTTTGGGCTATCAGGGCTCGCTCACTCACAGCCAGTGTGGAGCTAGTTCACTCACATAACAATGCCACCTTGGGGTTTCATGGCTGGTCATTAACACATCAGAGCTTGTTCTGGGGCCACCCTCTTATCAGAGCTGCGTGGTGGCAAGCTTCCAGGGCTATTCTAAGCCACACAAAATGGTTTTGAAGTTACACAAAATGGTTCCATTTGTTCCTAACACCCATGTTTTTCATACTGCGTGCATCTATATTAAGCAGGTGGGTTTAATATAGACGCAGCACTCTGTGTTTATAGGGAACTAGTCTCTCTAGGGTACCAAAAATCTGAATTTCAAGTGCCTTCTATAATACAATGTAGTTCTTGCCAGTAACCCTGGCACATCTTCTCTCGGGCCTCAACTCTTCTCTATATTACTTACAATACCTAATGCAATGTAAACAATGTGTGAATAGTTGTTATACTGCATCGTTTAATGACAAGAAAAAAAATCGGTGCGTGATTAAGACAAGTATGATTTCCACGTTTCTTTTTTAATCCTCATTTGGTTGAATCTATGGATGTGAACCCCACAGATGGAAGAGTCATGAAAAGAGGAAAGGAAAAAACAATCAACTTCTGAATTCATTCTAAAACTAGAATGTGACGCTCCTAGGTTGAGGAAATGGGTATCATTTTAGAGAATGTCCTATGTGAGTTCAGTGACATGAAACAATTCTTCTGCGGTCCAGCTTTTATGTAATCATATTTTCTTTCTGTTCAGTAACTTCAGTGCTACAACTAACCTTAGAAAGACTCTCACCAATTCCACCCCAGGTAATCATTTCGCCTTCCCAACCTCCCCATACATTCATAGAAAGCACAGCATATCACACAGAAGGTATCGTAGTTCTTTGAGTTTACTTTTTTAGTTCTCCATGTTCATGGATAGAAGCCTGGTTCACTCCTTTTAATGGCTCCGTAGTGTTCCACACTGTGAAAATGCTTTGGTCCATTTAACCAACTCCCCTGTGAATTCAGATTGTCTCTCGGTTTTCTTACCTGCATCACACTAATCTAAAATGCAGTCTCATTCAAGTCTCCTTGAGTCCCTTATACAAGAATTTCTCTAGGAAAATAATTTCTGGGTAATAGCGTGTTTGTTTTTAGTGTGATACAAACTTCCTACTTGTTTCCCGAAACACCCATTTACAGATCCACCAGTAGCCTAAGCGGCCCTCTTCTCTGTGTTGAGTGGTTATCTCCTCCTTTAATTGCATCCCTCACTTGAGACTCTCTTCCGTGCCCTTGACATTCTTGCTGTATCTACTTTCACAACTGGCCTCTTTACATTTCTTTTCCATGACAGGGGTGCCCCTCCCTTTCTTGTTGTTTCCTATATTCTGAAGGCCGGTCCTGTGTCTCTGCTGGCTTTAAAATGTATTTTCACAGTTTGTTGAACTATTCATCGTGCTGTGTTCAGAAACTTGTGAATACAAGTTATTTAAAATGATTGTTCTTTCCCAGTACTGATTTTGCTTTGGGCACCTTTTTTTTTTTTTTTAAAGAATGCCTATGTACCCTCCGAAACTTAATGACAGTATGCTAAATTTTCTCTTAGTTTGTCTGTGGTTTCGTTTCTGAACTCTTTGTTCTAGTCCAGTGATCAGCTTGCTTTTCCTGTTTCGTTCTCACTGTGCTGTTTGATTGCAGAGTGACTTCTGGAGAAGCTATCCACACTGACGGGTTTCACATGGTGGGAAAGGCAAGACGGGTCTCAGGTGTCCTTTGCAGAGTTAGTCTAAAAGGAGCTCAGAAAAATCGTTGGTTTAGAGAGAGGCTTGTCTTTTTCAGAGAGGGAACTCTCGAGTTGCTGAGCATGTGGAATCTAGCCTCTCCTGCTCTCCCCTGAGCGTTCACGGGAAGAGGCCCGCATCAGGAGGGGCCATGGGCTGTTGGCATCTGGGTTAGCCGTCTTAAGTGCATCCATCCAAAGAAGCACCATTATACACTGTATTTGGGATGCAGTGTGGATCTTATGCACCATTTTATTGTAGTAGACTTTTCAGGAGCAGCCTCATAATCCAAATACCAGTTATAACAGTACTCCGAGAAAACAAATTCAACTTGCAAAACCAGATGGGAGGTTTTGGACGTGATTCACAGCTCTAGCTCCACTCTCTGAATTCCTGATGTGTAACCCTAGCCACTGTGCACTCAAAAGGAGAATCAGAACACGTAGCTCCTGACTCCAGACATCACACTCAACACCTAAGAGAAGGCAAAATGCTAAAGCACTTCTAAATACCCCAAAAACTTCATACTAAAACCGACCATATTTCAAGGTGGAGTTAAGGCATTACTACTTAAGGCCCTGAACTCCCTCTGTCCCTGATCCTCCGTAAGTTTCTGAGGACAATGTCTCTTCCATCTTTGTGTTCCTTGACTCCATCTCAGTAACTTACACATAGTGGATATCAAAAAGTGTGTGTGTGTGTGTGTGTGTGTGTGTGTGTGTGTGTGTGTGTGTGTGTTACTAGAGAGATGGCTGAGTGGTTAGCAGCATGAGCTACTCTTGCTGGAGTCCCAAATTTAGTTCCCAGCACCCATGTGAGGGTGACTCACAATCACCTAGAAATCCAGCTCCTGGGGAGTCAATTCCCCTGGCCTCGATGAACACTGGCATGCAGGTTTTACACACACACACACACACACACACACACACACACACACACACCTTAAAATAATAAATATTTTAAATACTGTACATATATACAAATAATTTATCTTAATTCATATGATATAGACCTTATATATACACACATTACATATCAATATACATTATATAAAGAAGCCAAAAGTTTTAATCCAAGAAAAAGTCACACAATTCATGTTTTTTTTACA